TAAAGCACTATATGCGAGGAAATCTGACCTGGGTGTCAGACACAGTAACTTAATAAAAGTTCAGACAGACAGAAATAGTTCTAACAGTAGGGTTGTTAAATGTGGTTTAATGAACGTCAGATCAATCTCGTCTAAATCGCTTCTCATAAACGAACTTATTATAGACAAGGGCTTGGATTTGTTTGCGCTCTCGGAGACTTGGCTCCAACAAGACGACTACGTTAGATTGAATGAGTGCACTCCTCCGACACATGTTAACTACCAGAAAGCCAGAACTACAGGTCGCGGCGGTGGTGTTGCGATTATATCACACACCAACTTAGTTCTTAGTCCCAAAACCAACAACGCTTTTCACTCGTTTGAAAACTTAACACTTTCAATCACCTGTCCTGGGTGGAGAAAACAAAAAGTGTTGCTATTTATAGTTTTATACCGACCTCCTGGTCCTTACAGCGAGTTCCTAACAGAATTCTCTGACTTCATTTCAAACCTAGTTTTGGAATGGGAAAACATAGTTATAACTGGAGACTTCAATATACATGTGGACGACAGCACTGATAGCTTAAACAAAGCTTTCAGCGCCGTACTAGATGGTGTTGGTTTTACTCAGAATGTCGAGGAACCTACTCACATTCATAACCACACCTTGGACCTTGTCCTGACCTACGGCTGTGATGTCTCCAATGTTGACATCCAGCGTCAAAGCTCGTTGCTGTCTGACCATTTCTTGATCACGTTTGATCTCGATTTGGAGGACTTTCCTGTCCCACAAGATAAAACCATAATGAAAAGAACCTTAAATGATAAATCTATCACAAGGTTCAAAGAACTAATACAGCCTATGTTGAATACTGCTGCAGGTGAACCTGTTCACAGCTGCTGCAGTCCCTCAGTCATTGACCAAACGGTGGACAACACTATGGAGTCTTTAAAATCTGCATTAAATGCAGCAGCTCCTTTAAAACAGAAAACTATTAGGATTAGATCATCGTCGCCCTGGTACAGTGTTCAACTCCACACTTTAAAACAGGACGTCAGAAAATTGGAGAGGCTATATCGCCACTCCCACTCGGAGCCTGTCCACAGGGAGTGGAAAGCAGGTCTCCGAAACTACAAGAATGCCCTTCGCAGGGCACGAACTCAATACTATTCAACTTTAATAGAAGCGAATAAAAATAACAGTAGATTTTTGTTTAGCACCGTCGCTAAACTCACAAACTGCCATAGCGCAATCGAGCCTAAAATTCCAAGCTCACTGAGCAGTGTCGACTTTCTCCACTTCTTTAATAATAAAATTACATCCATCCGTGACAAACTGGAGGAGGTTACTCCTGCTGTTCGTAGTGGACAAGCTGAAGCGGCATACGTGACTTCCCACTTAGACTCTTCAGTGGGCCTCGATAAATTCATGGCTGTGAGCCAAGCAGAGGTGATCTCTGTGGTCACATCCTCAAAGGCCTCAACTTGCATGTTAGACGCAGTCCCGACATGGCTCTTCAAAGACATACTTCCTTTGATAATTGAGCCTATCGTAAATATAATAAACGCATCCATACAAAGTCGCTATGTCCCACAAGCTTTTAAAACCGCGGTAATCAAACCCCTTCTGAAGAAAACAAACCTGGACCCAGAAATACTTACAAACTACAGACCGATCTCAAACCTCACTTTTATATCTAAAATCCTGGAAAAACTTATAGCTGAGCAGCTTCGCTGCCACCTGCAGGAAAATAATATGTTTGAAGTCTTTCAATCTGGATTCAGAGCTCATCATAGACTGAAACGGCACTAGTCAAAGTCACAAATGACTTACTACTAGCTGCTGATAATGGACAAGTGTCAGTGCTGGTCCTACTGGACCTTAGTGCTGCATTTGACACAATAGACCACAGCATTCTACTGCAGAGGCTAGAATGTGATATAGGTCTTAGAGGAACAGCCCTTGGCTGGTTTAAATCCTATTTATCAGATCGGTATCACTTCGTCAACGTAAATCAGAACTCGTCACCTTATTCTGGAGTAGAATTCGGTGTGCTGCAGGGTTCGGTACTCGGACCGATTCTTTTCACTCTACATGCTGCCGTTAGGAAACATTATTAAAACGCATGGAATTAATTTCCACTGCTATGCAGATGACACACAGCTTTATCTGTCGATGAAGCCATATCAGACAGATCAGCTAGAAAAGCTCAGTGCCTGCATAAAGGACCTTAAAATGTGGATGACTCTTAACTTCCTACTTCTCAACCCGGAGAAGACAGAAGTGATCCTACTCGGTCCGAAGCGCCTGCGTGACTCCCTCACTAATGTCGGTATTATACCCAGTAACACTGTGAGGAATCTTGGAGTCATTTTTGACCGAGAACTCTCCTTCAAGGCTTATATAAGCCAAGCAACTAAAACGGCTTATTTCCACTTACGGAACATCGCTAAAATTAGGAATTTCCTTCCTAAAAGTGACGCGGAAAAACGTATTCACGCGTTTGTCACCTCAAGGCTC